AATAAATCAATGTGCGTGCACTCTGTGTGTGATTTGGTGATATAATCTACTTGATCATGTCAGATCGCTCATCATTACAAAAAACACCATATTATCGCAGAAGATATACTGTATATCGTACACCCCAGACTCAACTTGAGTGGAAAATGAATCATCCGCGGTTGTGCGCGCACTTGTTTGCACATGAGCAAAGGTGTTTTTAGGAGTCTAACTTGCAAACGCCAGACCACTGATTCGTCAAACCTGCTTTCCTGCAGTCTGTGTTCTTCTAACTTCTGACTATTTTGTAGTAAGTAACGAGTAAAGTATACATTTTAATTAGGAAATGTAGTGGAGTAAAAGTAAAAGTTGGCTGAAATATAAAAACTCAAGTAAAGTACAGATACTCCCAAAAAATACTTAAGTACTGTTAAGTACCACTGCCTGTAACTTATTTGATGGGACCTACACAGGCTTTCCATGGACAATGTATTAATAAGTCAATAATTTCTGTTTATAATTATTTTATTTTATTATGCAAAACATACAGTACTACACACAGGAAACATTGTCTGACAAGTTAATATACATTACAACTCATCAATATTCATAATTAGCTAAAAAAAAGGGCTGTCCACGGAAAGCCTGTGTAAGCCCCGTCAAATAAGTTACTGGTCACTTGACCACCTTTAATTTGGTGCAAAAACCTAGGGGCTTTGAATGCTCACTCTTCATACGCTCACACACCCCATATTCACGACCCGAGTATGGCAAGTATTCGAAAACAAAATCAGAAAAAAATATTCAAGGAAAATTATCAGCCTGTAACATCCTCAGTTAGGCCAATTAAGCACTTAATGGGGTCCTACGGACTTCAAACTTTGCATACCATCTAAGGGGCCCCTGAGGGGCCACAGATTCCAAATTGGAGCCGTTTGGAACCATTGGGGCCGTTCCATGGGCTGTACACCAAGCACCTATGAAAATCGATGGGATAAGTTGCACGTGTCAGTGGCCCCCATTCGGCCCCCGGGGGTCCGAGGGGCCTCAAATTCCACATGAAGTTGCATCACTCTGCCCCCTCGATGACATACCGAGAGAGCTAGGTCAGGAAATGCCCAAAAAAATATGTTTTTGTTCTTCATACAACTCTCTGCCTTATATAGATCTCAATGGGGGAAGGGCCTGTGCAGCAGTTACTTTCTCAGGGGGAACTTCACGGAACGTGGTGTCACATGGCCCCTGACAACATACCGAGAGGGCAAATTCTAGCTATGCAAAACTATTTTTTTTATTGTGTTGTAGGACTATGACGAAACTACACATCATCTGTCACCTTCTAGTTCAAGATGATTGACTATGCATGCACCCTCCAATCATTTGGCTGCACTGGGGTCCTACATCCCTCCATCTCTGCCATCTTCGTCACTACCACTGGCTCCACCTCATTCACAGATCTTCCATCTTCACTTTGTTTCTTCGGTCCAACAGCATCACCCTGATTATCCAGCTGTCTTGCTCCATCTTGATCTCCAGCATTCCTGACCTTGACTTTGTCTTCTCCCTCCTTGGCTGCATTCTAGTCTGCACCACATAAGGCTCCAACATGGATCTCCAACCCTCTAGCTTCATCAAGGCATCCCTCTCTGCCATTCTTATTCAACAAAAACATCTTCACAGAGACATGATGTGAGCATATTTACTATTTATAAATGCTGTTTTGCATATGTTTTTCATATGTATATTATTCGTTAATCTGCTTAAACTTTGCATAAAGCTACAATAAACAACAATATTTTGTTTTATTGTGTTGTAGGACTATGAGGACAGTGCACATCATCTTTCATCTTCTAGTTTAAAACAACTATGCCTGCACTTTTCAATTCTTCAGGTCCACCAGGGTCCTTCATTCCTCCAGCTCTGTCATCTTCATCATTTCCACCGGCTCCACCTTAGTCCGCAGATCTTCCATCTCCAGCTTGGCCCTCTGGTCCAGTGGCATTATGCTGGTTCTCCAGCAGTTTGGCACCATCTTGGTCTCCAGCCTTCTTGATTTCACCTTGGTCTTCCATCTACCCAACTCCGTCCTCGTTTGCATCATCTAAGACTCTACAGTGGGTCTCCATCTATGCGGTTCTATCAAAGCATCCCACTCTCTGTTTTGCTAAACAAGATATCTTTACAGAGACATGATGTGAGTATATTTATTATTTATAAATATTGTTTTGCATATGTTTTTCATATGCATATTATTTCTTAATGTTCTTAACATTGCATAAAACTACAATAAAGAAAATGTATTGTGTTTTAGGACTATGAGAACAGCACATCATCCAACAACTTCTAGTTTAAAACAAATGACTCTGCCTGCACCCTCCAATCATTTGGCTCCACTGTATTCCATCCCTCCAGCTCTACCATCATCATCACTCCCACTAACTCTACCTCGGTTTGCAGATCTTCTACCTCCACCTTGGCCCTCCAGTCCCACGGTATCACCCTGGTTGTCCAGCCCTCTGGCTCCATCCATCTTTGTATCCAGCCTTGCTGATTCTGCCTTGGTCTTCTTTCTGGTCTGCACAGCCTGAGGCTCCACAATGGGTCTCCATTCCTTTGGTTTCATCCAGTCATCCCACTATGCCATTTCTGTACAGTTGTGCAGTGGTCTCTTCCTCTGTCAGATCCACTGTAGTCTCTTCCCCCCACCATCACACTGGCTGTTGTGATGTTGCATTTAGGCATCAAGAACTGCCTTTTGGAAGGGCAGGTACTTTCATGTTCTGTTTCTTTTCTAGGACTGTTATGCTGATTCATTTTGTTAAAATGTTGGAGTTTATACTTATGCTTAGTTCCTGTTTTCTGAGGTGCCTATATATGTTTTTATTGTGTTCTCATTTGTTTAATCAGTTGCCCATTATGCTCACCTGTGTTTGGTGAATTCATTTTTATTTCTATGTATTTATACTATTTTCTTCCAGTACGTTATCATTGCCTTGGCTTTGCTAAGCTATTTTATTTTGTTTTGGTTTCTATTGCATTTACATTTAGTCATTTTGCAGACGCTTTTAACCAAAGCAACTTACAATTAGGGGATACATAAAGTGGTTCTTCTTAATGAGGCAAACAGACACAGGAAGTGCTCGTAATACCAAGTTTCAGGCATTGTTCAAATAAGTACAAGCTAGAAAGGGAAGGGAATAAATAAAGAGAAAGATTTTTTTTTTTTAGGATGAAGTAAAGTAGCATCAAAAGAGATGAGTTTACAGCTGTTGCTTGAAAATTGTCAGGGATTCAGCATTCCAGATAGGGGTGGGAAGATCATTCCACCAGCCAGGAATGGTGAACGAGAATGTTCTGTAAAGTGATTTTGAGCCTCTCTGTGATGGTACAACGAGACTCCTATTCGTAATAGTGAGTGGAAGTAGGTGGGTGCTGAGCCTGTGGCTGTTCTATATGCAAGCATCAATGTCTTGAATGAGCCGCAACCGGTAGCCAGTGCAAGGAGATAAAGAGAGGTGTAACATGGGCTCTTTTGGGTTTGTTGAAGACCAGTCGTGCCGCTGCATTTGGAATCATTTGTAGAGGTTTGATTGTGCTTGATGGAAGTCCAGCCAGAAGAGCATTGCAGTAGTCCAGCCTAGAATTGACAAGGGCCCGGACAAGAAGTTGTGCCGCATGCTTCATTAGAAAGGGCCTGATCTTTCTGATGTTGTGCAATGCAAAACTGCAAGATCAAGCAGTCTTTGCAATGTAGTCTTTGAAGGTCAGCTGGTCATCAAATATTACACCAAGATTTCTGATGATGGGACCCAGTTATGTAGTGTATATGGAGAAGAGGAGGGGTCCAAGAACTGATCCCTGAGGAACCCCAGTGACCAGTTGATGTGCTTTGGATACCTCCCATCCCCAGGCCACCCTGAAAGACCTACCAGTGAGATAGGATTCAAACCAGCGAAATGTGGAATCGCTGTGATGCCCAGTGATGAGAGGGCAGACAGGAGGATCTGATTATTGACAGTGTCAAAAGCAGCAGATAGATCCAGCAGAATAAGGACTGATGATTTGGAATCAGCTTTTGCAATCCACAAGGCTTCCGTGACTGACAGTAGCGCAGTCTCAGTTGAATGGCCACTCCTGAAACCTGACTGGTTAGCGGAGGAGAGAGGACAAATATTGTCTAGACAAGAGGTTAAAGTAGAGCATAAAGTGTCAGTTGCTGCATTCACATCCAAAGATGAGAAATGGGTAGGTGAGGGAAGAGAGGAGGATACTACAGAGGAAAGAAGGGAGGGGGAAAGGGAGCGTAGGTTTCATCTAAAAGTAACAGGTAGAGGGGTTGGTGGCACACAGGAAGCAAAATGTAGTTTAAATGTAATGAAGAAATGGTCAGAGATATGTAGGGGTTCTACCAAAATGTTGTCTGCAATACAATTGCGTGTGTAAATTAAGTCAAGTTGGTTGCCTGATTTGTGCGTGCTTGTAGTGGTAAGTCGTTTGAGATCAAATGAAGCAAGGAGTGAATGGAAGTCTGTAGCATAAGGCTTGTCCAGTTGAATTTTGAAGTCGCCAAAGACCAAAAGTGGACTGCCATCCTCCGAGAATGAGGACAGCATCCCATCCAGCTCCTCTAGGAAGGTGCCTAGAATTTGCCCAGGGTGGCGGTAAATTACCACAACCTGGAGTTTTATAGGAGCTGTTACAGTTATCGCATGAGATTCAAATGAGTTATAATTGCATAGGGGAGAGTGGGTTGAGTATTTCCAATTGTTAGAAATGAGCAGACCACTGCCCCCACCCCGGCCAACCTGACAGGGAGTGTGAGAGAAAGAGAATTTGTTAGATAGAGCTGCTGGGGTTGCTGAGTCTTCTGGACGAATCCAGGTCTCAGTCAAGTCCAAGATGCTGAGTGTGGATTGCAAAGAAAAAGCAGAAATGAAGTCTGCTTTGTTGACAGCTGACTGACAATTCCAGAGACCCACAGAAAAATAAAGAGGTGCCGTAGAGAATGTGGAGGTAGGATGCAGGTTAGCAAGATTGCATTGCCGTCTGCGTGTTATGTTAGAGCGTTGTCGAGAGACAACCGGAATGTTTTGGAAACACATGATAGAGGTGGAAAAGAGAGGACAGGAAAAGAGAGTGTGTAAAGGGAAGTTAAAAATAATACTTAAGTGCGTTGCTGGTTTCGTTGCTCAGTGAAGTCGCGCAGGTAAAGTCGCAGGTCTTTACACTCATATTCTTGTTTATAATCTATGCTATACCATTCTGGAATCTCTACCTTTTTTGTTGCTATTTTCATATATTGGTTATCATCAGAATACAAACACCAATTTCCCCAGTATGGTCTACTAAAATAGTCTGTTAATTTAGAATTTCCCAGAAATCCCAGACATTCAGCTGAGCAATATGACCTTGCAAAATCTTCTAAATGACAAACATTTCTATTAAATTTGGCACATTTTAGATAATCATGAGGATTTGGTACTGCTATTGTTTAGTTTAAAGGAGATTTGGAGCACAGCCAGCAATTTTCTTTTCCTGTCTCTCTAGCTGAAAAGGTTGCCTATCTATACCACTCATTATTTTGTGCTGTTTCCCATAATTCATCGCCTTTACTAATTTCCTCATCATTTTGGATATCATAATCAATGTTTCTACGATATTCTTTGTTCTGCTGAATTGGTATAATTATCAGTTTTGTTCAAAGGCTGAAAAGTTACTTGAAAGGAAATCGGGCTGTTTTCCGTTGGTTGTACTTGGACTTGCATTATTAAGTGCACTAGGCATATGATGGTCATTGTTCGTATTGCTTTGCTCATTTTTTCCATTTACGGGAGCCTCTTTCCTTGGTAAATCTCATTGTTGATCTTTTTCAGAGTTTTTAATGCTATGCTCCCTTTCATTTTCCTCTTCTTTTGTATTTTCTTTTTCCTCTGTCTTCTTTTCGTTTAGTTTGGGTACTCTACAAAGTAGTGATTCCTTCTATTTGGATTGCTGTTGGAGTAGTCCTTTCTCCTGGGTTCATTCCACTTTTTCCTTAATATTCTCAGATATAGCTACTTAGTCACCCGGGACAATTGGACACGCTGCCTCTGTCTCCTTACTAGGCTGCTGTTTTCATGTTTCCTGTAAATAGATAGCTTTGTGTATCGCAGTTAGTTTCTTCATGTAGGTTCTTGGTTCCATTTGCAATTGTTCTAGTGGGGGTCCTTTATAGGGGCCCCTACAGAATGTCGCAGGCATGGGTTGACCCGTAAGCATTTCATGCGGTGTTAGGTGCGTACTTCTGTTAATTTGCCTACAATAACTCATTAATGCAAGAGGCAAAGCATCAATCAATTAAGTTTAGTACTTGCACATATTTTGTTAATTTTAGTTTTAATGGTACCATTTAATCTCTCAACCATACCCTGCGATTATCTGAACTTATTTCAGATGGTATTCCAAATCTAGGAAATACTTCTCTTGTCAGAAATTTAATCACTGTTGCTGTCCCTTCATCTGCCGATGGTACTGCTTCAACCCATCTACTAAATCTGTCTATTACCACAAGCATATACCTTTTACCTTGCACCCGTTTTATCATGTCCACATAATCAATCACCAAGTGTTTAAACGGTCCTTCTAGTAATGGCATATGACCTATTGGTGTTGTTATACCTTTTCTAATATTATATTTGGCGCAAATTTCACAGGAGGACAAAAATTCATCCACTACTGGTTTTAAATATGGGGACCAATATCCTTGTTGTTTAATATCCTTGTTGTTTAATTCTCCTTATTACCTCCCCCCTCGCACAGTGATCTGAGCGCTGTTGATCTTGTTGCGTAAGTATGAAGATTTGGCATTATGGACTTCAGCAGAGAAAGATGAAAGCAAAGACTGATACATACTCAGGTCTGATGGATCTTTTGATTTGTTCCATTTTCTCTCTGCTGCCCTGAGTTTGGTCCGATGCTCACGAAGAACATTGGATAACCAGGGGTTAGAAGGGGCAGCCCGTGCTGGCCTGGAGGAGAGAGGACAAATATCATCTAGACAAGAGGTTAAAGTAGAGCATAAAGTGTCGGTTTGCTGCATTCACATCCAGAGATGAGAAATGGGTAGGTGAGGGAAGAGAGGATGATACTACAGAGGAAAGATGAGAGGGTGAAAGGGAGTGTAGGTTTCGTCTAAAAGTAACCGGTATAGGGGTTGGTGGTGCACAGGTAGCAAAATGTAGTTTAAATGTAATGAAGAAATGGTCAGAGATATGTAGGGGTTCTACCAAAATGTTGTCTGCAATACAATTGCGTGTGTAAATTAAGTCAAGTTGGTTGCCTGATTTGTGCGTGCTTGTAGTGGTAAGTCGTTTGAGATCAAATGAAGCAAGGAGTGAATGGAAGTCTGTAGCATAAGGCTTGTCCAGTTGAATTTTGAAGTCGCCAAAGACCAAAAGTGGACTGCCATCCTCCGAGAATGAGGACAGCATCCCATCCAGCTCCTCTAGGAAGGTGCCTAGAATTTGCCCAGGGTGGCGGTAAATTACCACAACCTGGAGTTTTATAGGAGCTGTTACAGTTATCGCATGAGATTCAAATGAGTTA